ATCCGCGTTGCAACTCTGTTTCTTGAGCCTATAAATTTATGCGTACAAGCCTTCGGGAATGTCGAGTATGCGGCAGGGGAGTGTCGTTGGACGATCTTGCGAATTATAAATTGCATTGTAAATCGTATTGTAAATAAAGCATCATATCATATTATGTTCGTTCAGTTTCGATCTGGCTAACATCAAAGATAAACTATGAAAACAAAGGGTATATCAAAGGGATATCGAGATACGAGCCATCTATCTCGCAAGTATCCTTAAATGCAGAGCGATTTGATGATAATTCCTCATTTTCCTCATCATCGGATTAATTTTTCTTCTTTGCGAGGCTTCGTACGCTGTGTGCAGTGTTTCCGAAGCCTGTGTTTCTGAAGCAACATTAGGTCATCATGGTGCAGAGTGCCGTGTACAGGGTGTACCGTCGCTATTCCAACGATCGTGACCGACTCTTTAACAATTGGAGCGACGTACTGGATCTCTATCGGTTCGTAATTGTAGATTATTACGAGAGAGAATTTTAAAAACAAGATAATTTTAAAAAATTACGGGAGAAAAGATTCTTTAATAATCGCTTCACAATCTTGTTCCTCAAATAGCGCTGGTTAACGACGCAAACGGCAAACACGAATCTCCGCGACATCAGATTTCACTCCATCTCGTAGTTTTAAATTCCGCGAGACGGAATGCACACGTCGCATTTTATGCTTAAAATGTACTCACGCCGGGATAAAGGGATCTATTACCTCAACCTTCAACTAGTATCCTCTTTTTCAAGTAACGTGACCGGTGTCACGGGGTCAGCGTTGACCCCCGACCTAGGGATCAGGCACTTTTACCGTGTCGTTCACCGTAGCATCCGACGACCCCTGTGTATCAAATAGCGTAGTAAATGTGGTGTCTTAGTTCATTATGAATCGTTGTCAGGATAAATCATTGTTGAGATTAAAAATTATTACATTATCACTTTATCGCATTATCGTTATTCATTGACTTAAAAAAAGACATTTATAATCTCTATTTGTCGCGTTAAAAAATATTTTTAAATGTACAACAGTTAAAAAAAACCTATATCATGTTGGCTGAAATATTATTAATACATAAACTTTATTTTCATAATATTTCATAATATTTCAACCAACACGATATAAATAGTTTTTTTTTTTTTTAACCACGCGTATTGCAAAATTACATGTAGTCTTTATATAGCAATATCTAACAGTTATAACTACATAAAAAGCCATTTTATAAAAACTTGGATTTCTCTCAACAAATACAATTATGTTGTAATATCCTTTACGTCCATTTCTATCAATGTAAATTAACTTTAATCTTAAACTTTAAATCTACTCTTTATCTTTTTCTAGTTTCTGGAATTAAAAAACGAGGAAAAGTAAATTAAATCGAGATTAAAGTTAATCTATATTGGTACAAATGGACATTAATGTGTTTGAAAGACAGATATCTTTTCCTAAGAAACAATAACAATTTCTAACCGAAAAAAGATGACTATCGCTATTTGAAAGAGGATCAATAGAGGAGAGCTCGACTATCCAAGAAATAAAAATAAGATAGAACGTCATAAAAGCACTAACATATCGTGACTTCAAGATCAGAGAAAGATTAGAATAGAGGATTGGGATGAGGATAGTACCGAGACACCCGGTATACTCTGGTACACTGAGCTGGACCTACGGAGCGAGCGGGCAACTTCGGAGCGTCTGACCTCTGACCCAAGAGTTCTCTCCCCGTCCTCCTCTTCACGGATCGCGTTCCTCCACCCCTCCATCCCTCTCCTCCCTTCGTTCTTGCTCTTGCCGTACCGCGCGGTGCATACTCCATTTTATACTTGTGCTTTAAGCGCCGTGGCCTTTTTTAAATAGCGGGTCTCTGCCGGGGCCGGAGCCGTCCACGACGTCATCGAGCGTTACGGATTCCCTTGGTCTTCGGGACGAGACAATAATAACGATAACGATCGTCCGCGCACGGAGTTGAAGGAAAAAAATTGCACCAAATCGTATAATGAGAGGAACGTGAAAGACATTGACTTGAATCATGACGATTTCACTTCTTCGATTTATTTCTTTTTCCTTTCAAATTAATAAATAATAAATTATTCTGCTCATCGCTCTGTCAAGAAATTAGCAATTCTTTATTATTATTGCTTTGATAATAATAATGTTAAATACGATTACTGTGCATTTCAAATTGTTCGAAAAAGCATGAGTAGATAAATTTTAAGATCACACTCCAGCAATATTTTTCTACATATGAAATTTTCAAAAGGTAAGTAAATTGATAAATAAAAATTGCTAAAATATATTTTTTTTATATAATAGAATACGTATGTAAAAAATTATTTACATCTTTAATATCAAAAGAATGATAATAATGGTCAATAAAATATGACAATTTTCTGCCTTGTTCTTAAATCTCTTTAATATTAGAAATTTAGATTTATGAGTTTAGAAATTTTATATGTAGAAAACTATTAGACTGTGATTTTTATATAAAATTTAATTATTTTTATAAATATTTATTTTAAAATTATTGCTCTCACTATTACTCGCATTTATAGACATTTAGGTCTATAGTATCCAAATATTTGAGTTTAAAACTGTCAAATTATTAGAAGCAGGCTGATACAATGTGTTCTCTACTGGCGTGGGGGTAGGAGAGGGGGGAGGGAACTGTAACCATCAGATTGGCAGCAGAATAAATAGAGTCAAATCATTAGTCAATATTTACGTTCCAATAAAGTACTACATCACTAATCTTCTTTCGATCTTTCCTGACTAGTCTTCTCGAAACACTTCTTGACGAAACACGACCAGTGTTATTAAATTCATCGGTACAAATTCTCTTGCTATTAAATTCATCGGTACATATTCTGTGATATATAAAACGAATAAATAATGTCGAAACGAGGCTGGGAGTGCCAATATTACACAGTAGAAAATTGTAAGACAATATGCGTTCTCTGTGCTCATGATTTTCCATCTTCCGCTTCAATAGAAGACTTACGTCAGCATATAATCAATTGTCATCAAATAAGCGACGAAAACGGAGTAGGGACCACAACTAGGTAAATAAAATATTCGTTAATAATATTTAACCTTTATTTTTGTTATAAATATTATAGGTATTTCAATTAATTCAATTAATTCATATATAGTTAATGGTATCAAATTCTGTAATTTATCAAATTTGCCATTTATTTAAATAGTCATCTAATGTGAAAAAAACCATATATTTTAATAATGGAGTAAAATTCTTCGATAGAATATTCGGATTTCCTTTTTGAAACTTTTTTGAAATTTTTTTTTAATAATTATGCTGAATATTCAAATATCCAAATTCGATATTAAAAATCCTAATTAAAATTCATTAAATCAGAAAATTAATTTTTAGATATACGTATATAGCAACATTAACACATTTCGCACAGACTATGCTCGCATGGACACGGCAGTCCCATTGAATGGATCAATTTTATTTTTCAATATTTCATATCACAGCCATCCAGTCGCGGGGAGTAGAACGACCGACGATAAAAAAAAAAAAAAAAAAAAACGTTAAAACGCAAACCAATCAGCATATCGATATCAAATTTTAATCTCGCACCCTGTGTATTCGAATAGGATATCGACGTTACGGTTTGATCGTGAAACTATCCATTTCGTGGAGTGAGCAAATTTTTTTATCATTTTGTGAAACGATGTTCTTCCTTATCTATCTCAGGGCAGAGATCCGGTTCAGGAAATGGACAACGATCATGCCTAGTTCAATAAAGAAGCTTGTCAGTTGAGTATAATAATTCCTACCAGGAAATGCTCTCTAGTTATCTTCTATAATTACATGATTGACGAATAAGACAAAATAATTATCAGTCATTTATCTTGAAATTACGCTAAATAATATATGAAACACAGAAAAAAGTACTTTCGTATCCGGATCGGTCTTATAAATATTTATTTATATCATTCATTCAAGGTTGCTCTAGAATGGTTGGTCTAGATCATCATAGAACCGGCATCGACATCGAGATAGACCACGAAGTTTGGTTGATGTAGTTGACTCGTTGGCGAAATGATCGGTTTTCGCAAACGGGACGCAGCGGCTATTCGCCGATGGCGAATTAACCGTCGCCGGTTTGCGCATCGGGGGATTGAGCGAGTGAGAATCCGGCTTACGTGTTGCGTGCGGATTCTGCCTTCGCGAAGTTTCTTGGAAAATTGTCGCGAATTAAATGCCATTAAATTTACGATTTGCGCGCCGGCGATTACGCAGCTCGCCCGTCGAAGTAAAGGGAGACGTGCCTGGCGGTTACCCTCTGGTAGCGTAATAACAGGGGAGGCCTCAAATTGTGGTCTCGCTCTGATATCCTCCCCCGTCTAGGTGGACTACTCGAGAATTTATCGGTCGAATCGATCGTGGCGCCAACGACGTTCAACTCGTAACCGAGTTTCATTTTAGCTTGCGTATCTTACATGAAACTTTAATTGGAAGTGCGTTGATAAATGAATGCAAAAGACATTCGTTAACAAGTACAAATGCGATCGTAATTTCTTCACGTGAGCGAATTTAATAACCCCTGTTAATATTACAAAGAATAATAAAAATTATGTATCGGCGATTGTTTATTCCGTGTTTATTAATAATTATTTATAAACTGAAACGTACAACGATACAGATCGATTTAAATGTAGGACACTGCACTAAAACGATAAATTGCGATTATATACAGGCGCAAGAAGGCACAATTTAACACAAATTGAAATGCCGTATCGCGTAACAATATTTATTTCACGTTATTTCACGCTACTTCCTGCGCTACTCGCGGCAGCTCCTCGACGGCAGGACGCGCAAAAAAAAATTCCTGTCTCTCCGCCTGTTCCGCGTTTTAGCTTCGTTGTTCGCGCTGTTTTTAGCCGTAGTAGGAGAAACCGCACACCAGTTCCTCGAACTATGCAATTACCTCGGTTTTGTCTTGCGACTTACTGCAGGGAGAATCATTGCGAGATCGAGCGGCGGCGGCGGAACAAGATGACCGCCTACATCACCGAGCTCTCCGACATGGTGCCGACCTGTTCAGCTCTGGCCCGGAAACCCGACAAGCTCACGATCCTCAGGATGGCGGTGGCGCACATGAAAGCTCTCAGAGGTGAGTAGCTTCGGTCCTAAACGAGAAAAATTGTTTGCGATTGTTGACAACCCTCAACATTCTCTATAATTGGAAATGAGGTGTGTACGTGGATTCCAGTTATATTGATATTATTGATATTGAGTATAGTTAGTTGAGATATACCCATTCACACATATGCTTCTGACAATTATAATTCTTACGATAAGTAACATTTGGTTAAAATAACCTCGTATACATCTTACGAAGAATTATTGCTGCCTTTCTGAGGCAGCATTAAACGATCTCTTTTCAACCTTTTCATCTCTTTTCATCTCTTCTCAGCATTTAAGAAATTGAGAAAAAAATTGCCGTTTTTCAAACGATAGACTAAGAAATACGGTGGCAAGATGTTGAGGAGCCCGTCCCATTATTCGAAGTAAAAAGTTCTCTGGTGGATTTTTCATCGAGAGGTGAAAAAAGCTTCGAATGTCGATAACTTACGATTCATAAGAGCCATAAGCCACTTGAATTTAACTTAAGTCCTGGAACTCGCACGCGCCGCAAAGTCGACAAATATTAGCAAAGAATTTTTCTCTCTTGTTTTCTTTCTTTTAGTAGATACATACTTTTTACAATTTTACATTTATTTAAACTTTTACACGTTGGATTTGCTTTTTCAAAGAAGAATAAAAATAACTATTTTCATATATAACTTTTATTTAACTTTTTTTTTCCGATATAATTTCCAACAAGTTTACTGGTAATAAAAAAAAAACAGATCTCTTCTCTCTCTCTCTCTCTCTCTCTCTCTCTCGCTCTCTCTCGCTCTATCCTTTTTTCTCTTTTAATTTTGATTCCTCGCCCAGCCGTCATCGATAAGAAAGAGTGGAGTTTCGACGCAAGACGTGACGATTAAGTTACAGCGATGTTTGAGTTATCCGGCACGAGCGGCGCAATAACTTGAACGCAACGCGAGATCTCGGAGTCTTAATGTGAAGCCGATTAAATTACGGCCGTAGTCGACCAGTCGTATGTTACGTTACGTACCTGCGACTATTGATTACACGGGGGAACACTCGGCCCGAGTCTCTCCTGGGTCGACGCGCGAGAACGCGCTGGGATCCTCGTCTCGACAGAGGCGAGAATTTACGAGCGCTTTTAGGATATTTACACCGCCGACACAGTTGCGCGACTTCCTTGTTAGATCGAAGACGAAACAGATCGATGTAACGTCACGAAGAAGTTTCTCGCAAGGTTCTCTCTCAAGGTTTCTCTCGAAAGATATTTGCACGTATCAAGCGCATGTATCTTGATCTTCAATCCGTTAAATGTTACAATTGTAATATGTTGTAATATATTTATAAAAAATTATAATTATTTTTATCTTGAAATGAGTAGACAGAATGAATTCTTATTGATTTGCTTGAAGAATTAGGTCAGAAATTTACAGAAATAATATTGTAATAAAACTGTTTTATGTGAAAAAAATCGAAACCATTCTTAACATCCAAAAAAAAAGAAGAAAAAAAAAAGAAAAGAAAACAATTTTGCAATTTTAAGAAAAAAATTTTTCGCGAAGTGTTTTGTATAATTTCGTAAAAAATTCTCTTGTATTAAAATGTCACGATGACAGATTTGAAAATTTCCGAAGGTATTCCGTGATAGACGTAGAGCTCGTGGTGGATATCTAAATGACCGATTGATGAGGGAATTTTTGAAGAATTTTTGATATGGTGGAAGACAGAGAGGCGGAGAAGGGACGACCACCGAAACGACCGCGTAACGTCGTGGCACGGGTTTCGAGAGCCGGTGGCGGTCATATCGAATGCAACGAGCGCGATATATGCTTCCGGTGGGCACGATGGGCGGAGTTGTGTGTCCCGTCTGTTGGCGGCTATCCCTTTGGTAGTTTCTACCGGGTATCTATCTATCTACCTGAGCCCGGGGGAGCCTGCGGCCGATGGACGCGTGCTGCGTATTGTGCGTGAATGCGCGCGTGTATATGCGCGATTCTGCCGTGATTCCACCTAAGTATTGGTGGTGCGTCGCGTTGTTTATAGCCGCTTCTCCTCTTTCTCGACGACGAAAGCCGCTGCATACAAATCGCTCTCTCGCTCAAAAGAGGAAAATCTCTCTCTCTCTCCTCCCTCCCCCTCTCTCTCTCCCCCCTCCTCTCCTCCTCTCCCCCTCTCTCCTCCCACGCTACGTACCTACCGTACCTACCGTACGTACCGTACCTACGTACCGTACTACGTACGTACGTACGTACCGTACGTTACCGTACCGTACGTACGTACCTACGTACGTACGTACCGTACGTACCGTACGTACCGTACGTACGTACGTACGTACGTACGTACGTACCGAACGTTAACCGGTTTTAGGTTTTTAAGGTTAAGGTTTAAAGTTAAGTTTAAACGGTTAACGGTTTTTAACGGGTTAAAAGGTTTAAAACCGTTAACGTTAAAAAAACTTTAAAAGGTTAAAAAAGGTTAAAAAAACGGTTTTTAAAAACCCGGGGGTTAAACCCCGGGTTACCGGGGGTTAACGGGTTTAGGGTTTACGGTAACGTTACCGTTTAAAAAAACTTTAAAAACGGTTAAGGTTAAGGTAAGTAAGTTCGGTAGGTAAGTAAGGTTAAGTTTACGTTAACGTTAAGTAACGTACGTAATTTACGTTTACGTTAAACTTTAACCGTTACGTTAATTAGTTAGTTAGTCGTTACTTACGTAACGGTTAAGTTTAACGTTAACGTTACGTTACTTACTTACCTTACCGTAGACCCGGGGGACCGGGGACCGTCGTCGGCCGGACGTAGGTACGGACGGTTCGGTCGTCGTCGTACGTTGTTGTCGTGTAAGTAGTCGCGCGGTCGTAGTTATTAGTCGGCCGGACGTTACTTGTCCGTCGAGTCTCCCTAACGTAATTTAGGTTAGGGTTGGGTCGGTTCCGGTCCGGTTCGGTTTTTAGTTTAAGTTACCGGCCGTTCTTCCTCCTTTCTTTCGTACGACCGAAAGGAACCGGACCGTCGTCGATACTAATAGCTCTCTCCCAAAAGAAGAATCTCTCTCTCTCCTCCTCCCCCTCCCCTCCTCTCTCTCTCTCTCTCTCTTCCCCTCTTCTCTCCTCCCCTCTCTTCCTCTCTCCTCTCTCACCTTTAAAGAGAAAGAGAGAAAAGAGGAGGAGGACACTCGTTTACGCGCGCAAACACCCACCCCCCATGCGTGCGTTATGTAGAAGAGGATTATACGATCGCAACGAGACATACGTCAGTACGAGCACCAGAGGATTTTTTATGATCCCGGAACGCCGGCGATAAAAATCGTCAAGAGACTGAAGAACCGTTTGGCGAACGTCGATAGGAAAGACGGCGCCGTTTCTGTCGCGAAAACGGTCAATTTTTTTTTTTTTTACATTCATGATGCTTCCAGCACGGTATCATCTTGGTAGATACTTAAATTTAAAAGAAATATTCTCAGTCATCAATGTTAAATATACGCTTTCCATTCTACAATTTCGACAGTACTCGGATATTATATTGCTTACAGGGAAAAAACGATTTTGCTAAAGTATTTAAAAATTTGAATATAGATCTGAAAATAATATTGTTGGGTTGTCAAAATAAATATGCACTTAAGACGATATCATATTGCAAAATTTTTTTATATTCCAACAACTACTTTAAAAACGCCCTACATAATTATTTTGATGATCCAAGAGAATTATTTTCAAATCTTTCTAACTAAAACTATTCTTTCTATATAAATATCAAAATCACTGTGATAGAAAACTTTTTTCTTAGTCGTTTGCATTATCAGAAACTTGATGTTTGATAATATCAAAGATGTCAATAGGAAGAATTTTCAATATCCCGATCCAGCACAGTTGTTGTTAGAATATGTTAACGTGTTAGAATACATAAAAATGGAAAATAAACGGTTACCGGCGTGGGATTGCATACTAAAAATGTGAGATGTGAGATGTATCGAATAGCATATATGGATTTTAAGCGAAATTTTTATTCAATTCAATTTAATTCGATCTTTTCGTTAGTTGCGTAAATGTTTGCGTTATTTAAAAAATTTAGTAAATTTAAAATGTTTTTTTTCTAATTATTACGCGTTTGAATGTTTATTTCTATTTTACATAGTAATACGTATATATATTCTCATAAATATCTCTAAAATGTTGTATCGTTGAATTGCTATGTTACAATTTTTTCCGAATGCATAATGATTTTGAAATTATTCTTTTTGTGCATCCTGAGATTTGTTAAAAGAAAAACATCATATATATATATATGACATAATATTAAGTTTATTTATCTTTTAAATTCTTATATAAATAGGCATTTAAACTGTAAAGGATTTGATATTTGAAGATGTTGATGTCACTAATAATCACCGTTGATAGAAAACTGTACATGGATTCTCTCGGCGGAAAATGTCGAACCATTGGACCACGTGGAAAGTAATGGTAACGAAGGTCACCGGAGGGTCTTCCATAGATCTTGTTTGGAAGTCGTTAAAGTACCTCTTCCCGGAATTTCTCCGTATATCGGGGTAAAGATCGCATCGCAGCGCGAGAGAACTTCTCTCTCTCTCTCTCTCTCTCTCTCTCTCTCTCTCTCTCTCTTTCCTTCTTCTTCTTTCCTTTCTTTCTCCTACTTCCTCTTTCTCTCTCGGGATCCGCCGTCCGCTTTGCAATTCCGATCTTGCACCTCGATAGTTACCTCCGCTGGCGAGGTACCCCGTCCTCATTTTTGGTACCACGCCACAGCGCGCTGCGGTCTTCGCGTCTCTCCGGAGGTCAACTTCGGAAGAAGCTATCGAGAAGTGATTTCAATATTCGATAGGACACGACTTGCTTAGGAATTCGCGAAATACTCTTCAAGGTTTGGATCACGCTTCAAAGGCAATCGCCTTTTCTACGATGAATTTAGCAACTAATTCTTCCTCCCACAGGCTTAACAATTGCATTTAGCTCTTTGAAGGGACCGAAATTTCGCGTTAATCAAAGAATTCATAGCATCTCTATAAATTGCATTATTATTTGCAACAAAATCTGACTACATGGAAAGAATGATTTTGTTGAAATAATATTAAAAAAAAAAATGGGAATCAGGAATGATAACTCTCTCAATAAAAAAATATCGACTAAATCTGAACAAAGCTCAGATTGTACACCTTGATTTCCAATCCCATAGATAGGGAGTGTAGCAAATATAATGAAAAAAACAGTCGCAGGATTAAGGACAAAGATTGCTTTAGCAAGCTGAGGGAATGGTCCGGATTCACAAAGATCCTCTTCCGGCGAACAGAAATGTGATGTATAAAATATCATGTAAAGACTATGACGCATCATATATGGGACAAACTTCTAGACAGCCGAGAACAAGGATTTCGGAGCAATCGCATAAACAGGAATACAGCAACTGCGTCTATGATCACAGACCACACAGGTTACAATAAAATCATGAATTCAATTGGGATGATGTAAAGATATTGGATAGAGAACGCTTTTTAGAAAAAAGATTAACATCAGAAATGCTTTGTATAAAACAACGAAACAGTCTTAATTTACAAACATATACGGAATTCCTACATAATGGATACGTCTCTATCTTAAGCAAATTATAAAATCTTTTGTTATTTGCGGGCTCTAACTTGTTATCCAGGAGAAGAGAGAAGGGGGGGGGGCTTATTTTAATATTGTTATTCTTCCTACCCTCATGTTGTCTCGTTTTACCAATTTGACTTTATTCTCACATATGATTCACAAAGGACTTAACCGTTGGGACTCCTTTCGTTTTTTTATTTGTTAAATTATTGCGAACTTCATTATATAAGATTGAAAAAACTTTCAACACCGCTGCCTTTATCAACTAATAATTTTTCTTTGTGACCGATAGTGAGATGGCTCGGAAATTGAGCCGAAAGGTTTAAGGTAAAGAAGTGTAGAATATAGAAATAATTTTTTCCAAAAAATAAAATACGCATCGTCATCAGCGGTCTGGATTCTTATTAGTCCTTTATAGTTGAGTGATTGTTAGATTTTGAGAGTCAGTAAATTATTATATTAATTTGTTTTATTAAAAAAAAAAAAATTCAGTCAAAGACAGATCTGAAAATAATTTTGTTGCATCAAAGTTATTATGTAGAATGCTTAAATATGATGACATGTATAGATATAATATTGCAATAATTTTTTTATCTAGCAACCAAATTGAATTTTATATCTTACATAATTATTTTGATGAAACAAAATTATCTTCACACATACATAAAACTCTGTATCTAGCCAGATTTTTATAATACTTTAGCAAAATTGTTCTTCCTATGTAGACTTGTAAGTAAGTAAGTAAGACTTAAAGTAATAAATTCAAATCAAATTATTCTCTCTAAATCCCGTTATTCTGTCTTCGCGACGAAACGTTGTCAGAATGAAATGAAATGAAATGTGTCGTAGGCACCGGAAATACTGCCACCGACAACGCCTACAAACCATCCTTTCTCACGGATCAAGAGTTGAAGCACTTGATCCTCGAGGCGGCTGACGGCTTCCTGTTTGTCGTGAGCTGCGACACAGGCAGGATCATCTACGTGTCTGACTCGGTCGCGCCGGTATTGAACTACACGCAGAGCGACTGGTTCGGCACTAGCCTCTATTCGCAGGTTCATCCCGATGACACTGAGAAGGTGCGGGAGCAGCTCAGCGCAGCAGAACCGCAGCACGGTGGTCGAGTGTTAGACCTTAAAACCGGGACAGTGAAGAAGGAAGGCCAATGTAAGCAAAGAAAAAAAGGTGGTTTTGCAGGATTTTAACTTTGATTTCCTGTCAGATTATTATTAGACAATTCGATCGGTCAAGATATTCAAGATGTGTACTCTGTGAAAAAAAATATATTCGTGAAATAAAAACGATCGCTTTTTTGCAGCTTCGATGCGATTATGCATGGGTTCGAGAAGAGGCTTCATATGCCGCATGAAAGTTGGCAATCTGCAGACCACGGGCGATATGGCAGCTGCACACGGGTTACATCGTATGAAGCAGAGAAACTCTCTGGGCCCTCCCGCGCGCGATGGTCAGAACTACGCGGTGGTACATTGCACCGGATACATCAAGAATTGGCCACCTACCGGTGAGTTTGGTACGGGTTACATGTCTGCACCGAGTCGAGAGAACCGTACATAAGATCGTACGTCGACGACGTACCACCACCATCACCACTACCTCCTACCTACTCTCTCTCTCTCCCTCTCTCTCTCTCTCTCTCTCTCTCTCTCTCTCTCTCTCTCTCTCTCTCTTTCTTTCTGTTTCTCGGGCGCGACGCACAGACCCCCGGCTTTCTATTTTAAAGCGGGGGAGATGTCGTGCCCGAGGAATACGAACGAACTGTTCCTGGAATACAGCGGAACGCATATGCCACGTGTGTACTGTAAAATAAGAACCGCTTCGAGTCGCCATGACTGAATTTTTCAACTCTAATTAAATATTCCTTCTATCATATTTGCTTTCGATCCAGGAACTGAATAGACGTTATAAATTTTTATGCTCTAAATATTTAATCGATTTGAGAAAAGAATATCAGATGCTTTTTGCTAGATATATATACATATTCCGAGCTGAAACACTTGTCTTTTCAAAGTATTCGTTTAACTGCTGAATGGAAAATCGTCAGCATTAAGAATCGCAGCGAGGTAATCGGCTGTTAACATATTTGTTTAATATTCATGATCACGTGCGTAGTTCTTTTTGTTTCATCAATGGCTTTGTGGCAGCCGCTGGTTAATCCAACCTTATCGGTTACGTTAAAAAAGAAAGATGCCTCTCACGTTGCCTTTCGCGCACATTAAATCCGACAGAGATGCGATAAATCGCTCTGTAATGTTTCAATTTCAAGATACAACATACGATATCAGCGTTTTAACATATCAGTATAAAGTATAAGTATAATAAGACAAAGTATAATTTCATGAAAATCATGAAATATTATTTATATAATGATGATATCAGTATGATAATCTTACTTACTTAGTATATAAGACCTTTTTTCAAGCCGATCAACGGGAAATCATGGACTGATTCATGATTTTACGCTGTAGGTGATTTTGTTCCCCCATGTGTACCAGGTGTGGGTCTAGGTGACAGAGGTCCTGGGGGTGTTCAAACTGGTCCAGACGGCGTAGTCACGGATGAAAATGCCTCCACGCATTGCTGCCTTGTCGCCATTGGGCGATTACAGGTCACTAGCACACCAAATAGTAGCGACTTAGCAGATTCCAATAGCAATAGCAGTAAGTATCATTTTATTATTAATTTAAAGAAGTTTAATAAATGGAAAGTTACTTTATTTATGTAATAATAACAGACAAAATAATCATAGTTTCCCTAAGTCATAAATTATATTTCTATTTATAGAATTTGTATCACGTCACTCCGTAGAAGGTAAATTTACCTTTGTGGATCAAAAAGTTGGTGGAATTTTGGGTTATACTCCATCGGAACTCTTAGGTCATTCTTGCTATGAATTTTTCCATCCGGAAGATGTAACACATATGCGAGAAAGCTTTGAACAAGGTAACGTTCGCTCGCTATTACGTCTCATATTTTTAAACGTTTTATTAACAACATGCGGTTTGTTTTCTAGCTTTGAAGTTAAAGGGGCAAATCGTGTCTGTGATGTACAGATTTCGAGCTAAAAACCGCGATTGGGTGTGGTTGAGAACGTCAGCATTTGCGTTTCTAAATCCATTCAATGACGACGTCGAGTATATCGTCTGCGAGAATATGAACGCAAAGTAAGAGTAACTAAAGTTGTAATTCAAGTTTTTAAGAAATTTTATGTTACATTTTTCGTTCTTTTGATTTGCATGAAAAAGATATTCTTTATTTAGGTCATTTCATCCAAGTAGTGATGGTCAAACGGAGAGTGAAGCTGTACCTACTTATGGACAACCTGGTCTGGACTATTCCCTTCAAAGACATCCTGCCAGGGATCCGCTGTACTCCGCGCATCATATGATGCAGCATCCAGCGACTGTAGCTACAGCTAGTAAGATAATTGTCACATATTCTATTTTATTTGTTGCATAATCAAATATTTCCTTTTTTTTTACTAGGATCAGTTAGATTTAACATAGTTAATTTAGTAACAAATTTCATAATAGATTTTAACTCTTTAATTTTTTAAGATTTTCATTGTGTGTGTGTGTGTGTGTGTGTGTGTGTGTGTGTGTGTGTGTGTGTGTGTGTGTGAGTGTGTGTGTGTGTGCGCGCACGTATGTATGTATATGTATATATATTTAACATAAGCCACACGTTTTAATCTTAATAAAATATTGAATGCATGTCATTCCTAGGTCCGCAACAACCAAGGCCGTCCAGCACACAGAACGTATACCAAAGCTACGAAACGACGCAATCGCCAATAGCTTATGGGTCACCTGGACAGCAAAGCGCGCCCTCGTCGGTCTTAAGTAGGATTCAGAAACCAGCTAATACATCTCCAACTCCGCAAGCATGGACGATTGGAAGACAAGTACTTAATTCTTTATTTTTCAGTTTATAGTTTTAAAAATTACAAACATAGTCTAAACACTTGACTATGTTTTTCAACAGCAACCCGTGACAGAAGGATATCAATACAGTCAATTAAGTCCATCGAGATCACCGAGCGGGCCAACATACACTCAACTCAGTAGCGGCGCTAGAACACCGGCTACACAGCAATATCATGCAGTCACAACAGTGCCTAATAATCCTGGTTAGTTCTTTTAATGCATCTTGCCTTCATGTTCTCCAAACGTTATATGAAAATAATCCAAACATATATTTGCGTAGGTATGTGGGGTTGGCAGAGTCAACAGCATCAGACGCAACAACCAGATGGACAGACCGGCGCTCAAGTGGCCGCACAAGCGCAACCGCCGCATCCTGGACAGACTGGGCCTGGCACACAGCCGCAGGAGCTGTCCGACATGCTGCAAATGCTACAAGATCAAGGTGGCTCGTCTGGATTCGAGGAACTAAACATGTTCAATACTAACTTTGAGTAGCAACGAAAAAACAACATGCCTCTGAAAAACAGCTTCTACTTTAGAGGAATTCTCTCTCTTCGGGACTTTTCCCGGTCGTTCGGTATCACTTTGGAGATTTAATTCAGGCATCGCAAATCGCACCCTCACGTCAGCATCCGAAGGATTGTTCACGAAGAAAAGAGAAATGCGACTTAACAATTTAGCACTGCATATATAGACTACGCAAAAACGATCGCACTGGGATTAGGACAGCCTAGTCTACCGGATTATTTACATATTATACATACGTATTATAACGAGAGGTTTTTGATTGTCATGGGTATCAGATGCTGCAGGTACAATTGTCGCATTATATGCTCTATTTGAGATTCAAATTGACGAGCATATAATGGTATTGCTGCGAACGTGTCGTTAAACATCAAGTGCGACTGTACCTTCATGACGATTATTGATTAATGCTCGAAACGAATTATAATATGCACAGATGGGCTATTCACATTTGGCATTTGACATAAGATGCTAAATACAGTTTTATATTTATAAATTTTACATTTAAATTAAACATATAATTGATAAAAATACTAATAAATGAATTAAATTATTTTCAATACATCTGATTTTCTTTAATTATTGTATTTCGATAGACCTAAAAATAAATGTAAAACATTATAAATCAAAATTTATCAAGTCTGCTCATGGCAATGACAACTATTTGTAAAACCGACTCAATGAACAAAAATAAAAATTCATTAGTGGTCTGTAGATATGGATATTTATGGCCTTGTTACAGGTATGCTAAACATATATATATATATTATCTGTTTAGCATCTGTGCTTATTATACAAATCAAGCAACATAATTTTAATTTCATGATACTTTTAACTGTATTAGGCGATTCGATAAATATTTAACAAGCGAAAAAAGGAGAAAAATGAAAATAACGAGTGTAATCTAAACAATAAGAAAAAATATTTTTAAAAAACTTCTCAATCAAAAATCTATACACAAATCACGATAATTTTAATACCAGTTTATCGTTAGATTTATAAGGCTAGCTTAATTATTTTAATTTAGATCTTTGTAATTATAAACAGTGCAATCATAAATCAACACGCGACAAGAAATTGTTCGAGACATTGACAATGTACAAAAATTGTGTAATCCACCTTTGCTTCTCTGTGCAAGACACCGTTTTTAGATATTCTTAAAGAAAAAATATAGATAATGTTACACATACGAATAATTGCATTTATAAGTAACCACGTGTGACTTAGCGCGTTTGTACGTGTTTTAGCAAATTTTGACAAGCATTGAAACGAAATTGCAGCATATCATGATGAATTGGGAACATTTTTCACTAATATATGAAGTATACATATACACATGATTTTTTTTAATCATCCTACATCGTAATGAGAATAGTATCATCACTTTTTGACAATAACTAATATATTGAGCTTAAAACAGGCATCAATATTTATATGCGAATGTTAAGTATGAATTTGTCTCTATCAAAGAGAAATTATTTCATAAATACCCTTGTCCACTGTTATATATTCCTTTGCACAATATCCCTATCCACATATTATACTTCCACAAGAAATCGCGAAATATGATTTAAAAAGCGAAGAGTGTTAGAAACGCATACGTGTCATGCAATAAACCGCCTATAAAAAAATA